CAAGGGCTGAGGAGGTACTCAGAAAATAAGCTGGCCCAAAGCGCATCCTTTGCTCTTTGGGAGTTTAGAGTGAATAGTATCTTGGCAGGATGTTCTAACTAAATGCCCAAATGATCAGCTAATTACTTGGGTCTGAACACAGCTGAACAAATCCACCTTCCCAAGTCACTGCCAGAGGTTTGAGCCACTTCATTCTGGCTGGATTTCAGCACCACACACCAAGGATCAGATGACTGAGCCAGGAGGGACATTTTTCACTTTCCTGCTTCCTTGTAATACTACAGTACAATCAGTTTTCTAACCTACAGATTTGATGGGGGTTGTAGAAAATATGAAGAGATATTCAGCCTCACTAGGAAGCAGTACGATGCAATTATAAACAGAAATGAGAAGCCATTTTTCATGTACCAGGTTGGCAAACATCAAAGGGATTGATAATGTCCAGTGTTGGGGAGAGTGAGAGGGAAATGGGCAGTGTTGTACACCATAGTGGGAGTTTTAATTGGCAAAGACATTTTGGAGGGCAATTTGGCAGCTTCTAGAAACATTTAAAATGGTCAGAGCCTTTGGCCCAGTAAGCCCTCTTTCAAGCCAGACTCTAGAAATTCTATCCCATAGATGCACTTATGCATGCATCCATGGTATGTGTGTGTATGTATGTATATATATATATATATATATATATATATATATATATAGAGAGAGAGAGAGAGAGAGAGAGAGAGAGAGAGAGAGAGAGAAAGAGAGAGATGTATATATGTGTGTGTGTATATATATATATATATATATATGGAAAATGCAATTGATTTAAATATCCATCTGTAGAGGAATGGTTAAATAAATTAGGATGTGTGGACAATTTAGTCTTTGGTGTGTGCTGACAGGGAAAGACATAATAAAATGGATGTAATAATTTGAATAATATATAGGATAGAATCCCATCAATATATCTTAAAAAGGAAATCTACATATGTTCATTTAGGTGTGTAAATACTTTTCAAGAAGGTCTGAAAGAACACAATTCAACTGTTAACTCCAACTCTTCCCTGGGGAGGGAAGTAGAAAAGGGCAAGAGTGATTTGAAAGGTTTTCTCTACCAATTTCTAATCTAGCGCTCACGTATTATATGAGCATTTAAAGGTGCTTTTATAATACAAACAGAAACGAAAGGACTGTATGGCATTTGTATTTAATGCACTTCATCTTCATCCTCACCACCACCATTATCATGATCATCCGTTCAAACCCTTGAGCCTTTTCTCCTCCTTGGCACGTGAAAATCCCTGAATCCTAAGCACGCTCTTACTGTGGCTGATAGCTCTGTCAGCTGTTAATTATTCATGCTAATGGAAGAGGCTGGAGGCACACATAATGCAAAATCAAGAAGAGTAAATCTTTCAGAATCTGCTCTCCTCTCCTCTTGGATCCCCTGGGAACCCCTTGCCTACTGTAGGTATTTACTCAGCAATAAATATTGATTGGTATGGATAGATATTTGTCTCTCTAATTTCAAGTCACTCACATCCTCAGACTCAAAATCATATCCCTGGCTAGTGACTTCCTCAAATCTATACTGACCTGGTCTTGCTCATGGGGGTGTCTGGGCTTGCCATGAGGACTGTCAGGTCCTGGTCACTATCCATCAATGGACTATTTCTTCTGTGGATAAAATAGAGATGATGGGAATCCTTGCTGTGATTTGTTTGTTTTTACATAAACAGAACTGGTGGCTTTGCCTCTCTAGTGGATTTTCAGCCAACTTATGCTCAGATGGCACAAACAAATTAAAACAAGAATTTCACATCCATTGGAAGGGCTAGAACAAAAAAAAAGACTGACAACTGCAGATATTGATGATGATATGGAGCAATCAGAACACGTCTATTGCTAGTTGGAGTGTGAAATGTACAAACACTTTGGAAAACAGGCAATTTCTTATTATCATACATCTAATCCTATTACCCAGCAATTCCATTCCCAGAAATTCCATTTACTCAAGAAAAATGAAAATATAGCTTCATAACGAGACTTACACATGAACATTGAGAGCAGCTTTATTTGTGATAACCACAAACAAATGTCCATCCATATGCAAATGAATTAATAAATTGCAGCATATAAGCATACTGGTATATGTACAACAATTTAAAAGAATAAATTGACAATTCATGTAACAATATGGATGCACACCAAAAAATGTTTCATTGAGCAAAAAAAGTCAGATACAAAAATATGTACTACACAATTTCACTTTTATGAAGTTCTGGACCAGAAAAACTATTCTATGGTGATAGAAGTCAGAAAATGGTTGCTTATGGAGCTTGGAGGGCATTGACTAGACTATAAAGGATCATGTAAAACCTTTCTCACGGGTATGGGAGCTAGAAGTCCAAGATCAAGGTCTTGACAGAGTTGAATTCCACTGAGGCCTCTATCCTTGGCTTGCAGATGGCCATCATCTCACTGTGCCCTCATATTGTCATCCCTTTCTGTGTCCTAATCTCTTTTTATAAGGACACCTGTCATATTGGAGTGCACCCAAGGTAATGTTCTCTTTTTAACTTCATTACTTCTTTAAAGGCTCTATCTTCAAGTACAGTTACATTCTAAGGTACTGGGCTAACATAGAAATTTGTTGTTGTTGGGGGTGGGGGAGGAATCCATCCCATAACAATAACTGTGCATCTTGTTATACGTAAATTATTTCTCCGTAAAAATAAATAAGTAACAGGGAAGTAATTCCCCCATATTTTTGCATGTAGAGGGAAGCTGGACATTGGAAACAGTGGGGAGATCTGTCATTAGATGTTAATGTAACAGTGAGATGGTTAAAATATCATAACAGGCAGCATTTAGTGAGTGGAGTACTTTTCATGGAATAACTGATTTAGTCTGAAAAGATTCTATGAAGTATAGGTACCATTACTATGCCCATTTTTAGATGAGGAAACTAGGCTGCAAAGGAGCTAAGTAGTTGACTTAAGGTCACACAACTCTAAAGTGGTCAAGCCACAGGCTGAGTCCAAGCAGGCTGTGCCCAGAGCCTACACAATCACATCTCCATTCAGCCCCACTGGTTAGAGAATATTTCACTGACAGTTGGTTACTAGGAAGGCAGATATGTGCAGAAATCATGAGCTACTCTTTAAAAAATTTTTGTAGTTGTAGACAGACACAATACCTTCATTTTATTTATTTTTATGTGGTGCTGAGGATGGAACCCTGTGCCTCACACATGCTAAGCAAGTGCTCTACCACTGAGCCACAACCACAGCCCTCATGAGCTACTCTTAAATGAAAACAAAGGAACTCCAGGTTAGAGATCAAAGGTGAAGTTGGCTGATCACTGTGTTGTTTGGCACATAGTAGGTTATCAATATTATTTGTTAGTGCACTTGACAGGTGTCTCTGTATGTACAGGTCTCCTTCTAAGAGAATCTGTCCCAACCATAATCCAGAAGTCCCTAAACATCCGTGTGTTAACTTTCCATTAAATATAACATACATAAATAAATGTTCACAAACACCCCATGCCTCTTTCTTGATACCATTCATACTACCAAGGGTAACTATATCCTTACTTTTAGAAGCACAGATTTTTTTTTCTCTCTGTGTTAGTTTTCTAGACCAGCTATAGCAAACAAGGTGGGTGTTTAAATCACCACAAATTGGGTAGCTTAAGATAATAGAAATTTATTATAGTTCTAGAGGTTAGAAGTCCCAAAGTCAAGGATATGATTCTACTGAACCCTTTAGGAGAGAATCATTTACTGCCTCTTTCTAGCTTCTGGTGGTTTTCCAGAAATTCTTGGTGTTCCTTAGCTTTGAGCTTCAGCTCTTCAATCTTTGCTTTTATGATCATTTTATGCCATTCTCCCCGTGTGTCTGTACCTCTGTGGCTCTTTTCTTATTAGAACACTAGTCATATTGGATTAAGGTTCTACCCTACTTCAGTATGACTTCACTGTAAGTAGTTATATCTGCAACGCCCCTATTTCCAATGAAGTTCACTTTCTCAGGTACTGAGGGCTAGAACTTCAACATGTCTTTTTTTGGGGGAATAACATTCAACCCATAACACCATCCAAATGATAAAAAAATGAAAGCATACACTATGACAATTTCTGTAGCTGAGCCTCTTTCACTCAATGTAAGGTTTATCAAATTCCTTCACATTGTGCTACCTAGCTGTGTTGCTTTTAAATCACTTTGGATAATATTCTATTTTGGGAAGATACCATCATTTTTCTATTGCATTATTGAACATTTGGGTAATTTCCTGTTTGATGCCAATATAAATATTACTGTTATGAATGTCCAAGAATATGCACTTTGGTGAAGTTCTGTGTGCATTTCTGTTGTATATATGTGGGAGTGGACTCATACCCCAAAGGCATCAGCCTAAGTAGATACAGACAAATAGCATTCCAAAGGGGTTTTGCCAATTTACCCTCCCATCCGCTGTATATGAGAGTCCTAGTTCCTCCCCCTCTAGCACTTGGTATTTCCTTCCTTCCTCCCTCCCTCCCTTCCTTCCTTCCTTCCTTCCTTCCTTCCTTCCTTTTCCTACTTTAGCTATCCTGGTGTGAATGTGTTGACATCACATCATGCTGTGTTTAAATGTGCTTCTTTTTGTTTTACATTGAAGCTTCCCATCTCTCTCTGCTGATCTTAGACACTTCCTGGTCTCTTCATCATTCATTACCACAATTAGCATCTCTAAATCCATTTCTTACACTTGGATGCTCTGATCTATAAGGAAACCAATGTCTTTCTCCATTTATCATCCTCTTACAGAAAAATTTCTCTTGCAGCAACTTTGAACTGCCTCTAAACTCACTCATGCTGCAGAAGGACCCATGCTTGTTTGTTGATTATTTTGTTTTTCATGCCTTAAGAGCAAGACTGGAACAAATATGAAGTTGGAGAGTAAGATGCTTGCCATAACAAATCTATAGGGTCTGTAGTGCATGCAAATCTACTATAACAAACACTCCCACTTGCTCAATGGGTGTTTTATTTACTGTATGATTGGTAAAATGCATTTCACAGTGAAGTTATGTTGGAGAGTCAGTTCAAATAGAGATAAAGCAACTCTTGAACATAGTGGATGCAACTGAGGAGGCAGTCATTCCTTGCCAAAAGTCACTTAAGGGAAGAATTAGGTCTTACATGCTGGAAGCTAGGACCAGCCCCTAGTCTTCCTCCCACCTGCATTCTCTGTTCAGGAGGTAGCAAGCTTCAGTCCATTCTGATTTTACAAGGAGGCAAGATGGTATCCTGGAAAGACATGAGATTGTGGGGAAAGGAGGACTCAGTTCAACCCCTATGCTGCCACTCATTGGCTCTGTGAGATTGGGGCAGGGAACTGGGCAGATGGCATTCTGGAGGAAGCAGGTGTCTCAGTGAGAGACCAGAAGCTTGTCCTATGTGGGTCATGGCAGGTTGTCTCCTGATACACTCTGGACTTGGTCTTTTTGCCTCCTCAAATGTTTTGTAAAGACTCTTTGAAGAAACCAGTCTGTCTGTTATACTGTGTACTGGGTTGGAGATTTCAAGGGGTGCCACCCCTTTGTTGCCATCAAGATGCTACATCTCAGCCCAGTTCTTCCCCCATCTTCAAGTGTCCACTCTCAGAACTGATAGAGAAGAAAGGGCAATTGCCTTCCAACCCCCAGATTGAAATCTGTAATGGTTCCAAACTGGCTTTGAAAGAATTAGACTCTTAATATTCAGCATTTATTAAAAGTCCTAGTGCATTGGTATGATACAGATTATAAATATATCATAACCTGGCCATATAATGACCTTTTATTGAACATTTATCAAGAACCATAAAGGGAATTCAGAAGCCATCCACACTCATCGTCATCACAGGATTGACAAATGAGGACTTCCAAGCTTTAAGTAAGTGGAATAGAGACTTTATTCAACAGTCCCAAGATATCAATGTTGGACCATGACTGTAACATATAGTTACAATATTCAAGCCATTTTCTTTTTGTATGGATTTGTTGTCTGGAAACAGGGGGGTTTCTGTGACTTATGTTGGCAGAATTTCCACCAAGAATTGTGTTCTTGTATTTACCTTCCAAAGGGCAGAATAACTTCATCCAGCAGAAAAGTTTCTTGTGAATCTGGGTAGTCATGGCTTCTTCAGGGAGGAGAGCATAAGCACAGTTCATGGTTTTTGTCTGAGATGTGAAGCCCAGATGGGTTAGTGAAGGGGTAGACTAAGGAAAGAAGAAACTACTAGAACAAATTTCATACAGCATTAGAGGACACTTAGGCTTATCTGTGGTTACTTTCAAATCTATACACATTTGGTAGTCACCTAGGGGCCTTCCTCAAAGGAAGGGAATTATTGAGGACTGTTGTTATATTGTGGTCAATACGATAAGGTGAAAGATCGACAAATGGACGATGTTTCAGCCTACAGACTGAGCACAGCCCACCTAAGATTCAAGACAAGCTTACCACCTGATATCAGCAGAAAAAGAGCCAGCTACTGCACAGGTGGTACTTCTCAAATTGTCAAGATCTCAACATTCTAGTTGCTAGAAATCTGTGCCACTTTTCTTATTGAAATTTTTCTGTAATTTGCTCAATGATTAGGACATAAACTAAGTTGTAAGAATATACATTTTCCCCCATGGGAATAACTAGAGCTATTTTCATTTGAATAAATGCTATCAAGAAGCATTACTGGGCTGAGGATGTAGCTCAGCTGTAGAGTGCTTGCCTAGCATATATGAAGCCCTTGGTTCCATCCCCAGAACCACAAAAAAAGGTATTTCTTCTTTCTTAAAACCTCAAGTGACAAGAGTTTGGTCATTACTCTTCTACACAACTACCAGCCTCTTTGGGACTCCAATAGGATTCCATAGCAATCCAGAACAATCCCTCCATTTTCTGAGCTTTCCATTGTTCTAAGAACTTTTGGAGGATGACATTGTTCCCAATTATTCACCTTCTCCTTGTATCTACATCTTTTCCATATGACCTTGCACTGTCTCCTCTCTCTATTGACATTCAGTTTGTCCAGGTAACTTGCTATAGCCAATAGGATATTTATGGAGGTGATGCAAACAAAGGCATGAAGTGGGCTTATGCTATTGGACTTTCCCTCTCATATTGTCCCATTGCCATGGGAAAAGTTCCCACTCCCCACACCAAACACGTGGTAACTGCTGCCCATTTATCCTGACCCCATAATGAAATCATGTGCAGAGATCTAAATGTCCCCTTATAGCTTGGGGCCATGCCCTGCCAGACATGCACCTTGAAGATGAGCTGAGTTCAGCTGATCCATAGACACCCATAGACCCACAAACACTCGATTCAATTGTTATTTTGTTTGCCATTGTATTTGTGATAATAGCTGACTATTTTTATAACTCTTCAAGCATATTTCATTTAGCTCAATAATGCTGCAAGTGGATACCACTATTATTTCCACTTTAAAGCTTTGGAAACTGATTGAGAAATTAATTAATTTACTTAGGTTCATAGATGTAGGAAATGTCAGAATAGTAATTCAAACACAGGTGAGTGGGATTCTAAAGCTTGTGCTATAAGCAGCCATGTTTTCCTCTTGGAGTGCAAACCTTTAGGATGTAGGGCAAGAAGAAACCATCTACTTTTTCCAGTTCCTTCACAACTTAAATGCCAGCCTACTGGCATTCCTGGTTCTGCATCACTAGACATTTTGATTTTGATATCTTTTTTCTTGTTGTTGTTGTTGTTGGTGTTCTTGTTGTTGTTTGTTTCTTTTCTTTTTGTGTGTGTATGATGGTGGTTCTGAGGATTGAACCCAGGGCCTTGTGCATGCTAAGCAAGCACTCTACTAACTAAGCTAGATCCTCAGCCCCCAATTTGATATCTTTATAATTTGAACTTATTTCTATTCTTATGAGCAGCAGATGACAGCAACTTAAAGTGTCTTTTTTCCCCAAAATTTTCAGAAAATTTCTGGGTGATATATTGCTTATAGAACATGAGCCAGGTACTTCCTGAGAGGTGCAGGAGCTGAGAAATCTACACTGTCTGGCATTCAAGGGTCAATCTCGAGGGAGGACAAAGAACTTCTGTGGTTTTAATTCAAATAAGTAGAGAACTAAAATTTTATAATGTTCCCATTTCACATTTATTTTCCAGGAAGATTGGTAGATATGAAGCTATTTGGCTTTACTTATACTGGCTTAGATGTGGGTTTTAGAAACAAGTGACTAAGTCCAATAACTAAGTGGCCTTGAGCAAGTTACTTAAACATTTTGTGCCTTGTTTTTTTTTTGCCTCAAAAAGGAGATACTAATACTATCTAATCTGGGGTTTTATGGGGCTAAAATGAGATAATGCATATGAAGAACTTACTTAACACAATATCTGACTTTTATATGCTTTTATCTACAAGTGACAGAGATCCTGAGTCAAAATGGTTTCAACAACTAGGAAGACTATTATCTGACATATTCCAGCAAGGGAAGAGAGCTCAAGGTATGACCCAGTTGGGACTCTGACCAGGGTCTATCTGCCATTCCTTTGACTTGACCTTCCTTGGGCTGGCTTCCATGGAAGCAAGATGGCTGCTGGCAGCAACTAGGGCAGGAGATTGCTTTTCTATAGCCAGTAAAACAGAAGACAATCCACTCCCAAATATGGAAATAAGTTTCTTTCCTTCAATTTCTTTGGGCTAACCTGGGTTATTGCCTTCCCCTTGAATCAATAACTGTTACCAGGGCTGTGGTTGTGGCTCAGAGGTAGAGCACTTACCTACTGTGTAAGGGACTAGGTTCGATCCTCAGCACCACATTAAAAAAATAAAGATATTGTGTCTACCTATAACTAAAAAATACTAATGTCTGGCCTTTAGCCACCCTAAAAGACAAATTTGGGAACTCAGGGATGACAGATCATTTGCATTGAAAGCTACCCTTTCTTCTTCTTTTACTGGAAATTAATCTACCTGAAAAACAAATTCCAAAGACCAATGAAGACTTGGAAGGTCTAAGTTCAATTCTTCATGTCATTGTCACCTTGAAAAGATAAAGTGGACAATGCACAGCAACTATCCCTCTCCTTTGGCCAAGGAATATTTTGCTTACTTCAACAATTTCTGTGTAAAATCCTGGCACTCTGTGGTTGATAGCTATTGTTTTTCACCTTTCTCTCTTTTCCACTTAACAGAAACTCTTTTGCCAGTGGCAAACCTGTTCTGTGGGATTTGGATGAGGCTGGCCTCATACATATGTACATGGGCATGCATACAAGCCAGGTTGACCAACCAGAATACAGCATCCCTTCCTTTAGAGAAAGTAATTAGTTTCAGGATGGGCACATGACTCAAACCCAGTCAATCATCTGTTCTTCTTGAATATTTGAACCTTGAGCTGAATGAACAAGTATCAAAGGAGCCACAGCTGGAATCTTTATATAGCCAGTGCCTAGCAAATATACTTTCTGCATTCCTATTATTTATGCCCAGAGCTGGCTTGGCTTCTGTTGGTTCCACATTCTGATCGCCTTGATTATTCAGTTCTCTGAGTATTCCAAGATTATCTAATAACTGGTATGGACTGAATTGTCTCCCCACTCCCACAGTCTAATATGTTAAAGCCCCAATGCCCAATGTGACTATATTTAGAGATAGCCCTTTTAGGGGTTAATTAATGCTAATAAGGTCATAAGGGTGGGGTTCCGATCTGATAGGACTAGTGGCTTTATAAAAGAAAGAACAGAGACAGAGCTCCATCCATATGCACAAACCAAGAAAAGCCATGTGAGGACAGAGCAAGATAAGAAGGCAGCCATCTGCAAGCCAGGAAGAGAGCACTCACCACAACCTGACCATACTAGCATCCTGATCTCAGAAGAACAGCTTCCAGAATTGTTAGAAAATTAAATTATGTTGCTTAATTTACCCAGTCTTTGTTGTTGTTGTTGTTGTTGTAACAGCCTGAACAGACTAAGAACAATGCTATTTTCCCTCTTAAGATAGCCAGTGTCAATGTCTATTACTTCCAAGTAAGTTCTCAGTTTGAGGTAGCAAAGCAGCTGGTGAAGATGTTGGGGGGGGGGGCTCCTTCTTGTAGCTTTCCTCATGATCCTATAAGAAAGTTTGTTTCATAGAGAAGCAAAAAAGGAAAGACTCTTCCTAATGTGACCAACAAACTCAAATGTCTGAAACAATCAGAGGCTTATTGGGACTGAAAAGTCCCCATGTTACACCCCAAGCTAAATTTAGAGCCCACTAAGGCAGGGAGAAAGGAAGCACCTGGGAAATAAAATCAGTCCCAGAAAGAGATCCATGGAAAAGCACAAATTCTTGGCTCCTTCCAAATATCTCCAGGTGAGTTCTCTTTGCCTGACAAAGATAATAATCGTTCTCATTGTATTAAGCCATTCACCTAAATTGAATGGTAGCTTTGAACTTGGAAGCAAGAGGCAGATTAACCAGGCTTCACAACTAGCCTGTTGTTTTTTATTACCCAAATGCAGAGGCCAAAATGGAAGCTGTTAGACTAAGAATGAAGGGTTACCTGATGCACATTGAGACCAATTATGAAAAAAAAGGAAGCCATAGGGCTGGGTTCCAAGTTCAAGCACTATAACTCAATAAGACCTGCAGGTTTGATTAGAGTCACCCCTAAGTCATGTGGAGACCATGTGCAAGCATTCTATTTTGGAGGGCAGCAGGGGCTATGTATATAAACAATTCAATTTTTTAAGCATGCTACAAAATTTGTGGGTTTATGTAAGCTATTGTGACTTATCAGTGAATATTCAGAATGACGGGTATCAAAGAAATACTTAAATATTTGTTTACTACCCAATCAGTGCTCATGATGATTCTTCATAGTATCCTGGCACTATGTCTTCTTGTTCAGGTCCAGGAGCATCTCTCTGTATTCTTTATTGCCAAATGTGTCATTACTGGATAATTTCTTATCCCTCTTTGGAAGAAAAAGGAAGTAATGCTATTAATACTCATGATACCATGGCTCTTTGGAATCTATTTATATTGAAATGTTATACATCTTCTTGCTTGTTCGTTCCCACATACCACTTATTTCGTTTATTCAGAGATGGTTACTCTCCCATGATGATGAATCATCCAGAGTGTCACCCATGAACACTGGCTTCCAATGACTGTCTCAAAGGTTATTACTGTGTTTCATTGATAATGGTCACAAATACAAATCTTACTGAATATGTGAGAAAATGCAAACAATAATACATTTTGTGGTTATGTCACCTTTACTGTTTAGGATGTTATAGCTTAAATATAGAACAATACATCTTCCACTTATGTCTCCCCTGGACCTCTGTAGGCTGTCATCACTGCATTTCTAGAATTTGACCTCTTATGATGTTGACCTTCCCCTGCTTTTCCACACAACATTGTCAGTTTGGGAGACAGGATGGGGCTCATGGGTAGTTAGAGAAGAGAAGTCTCATCTGGGAAAGGAATGTCCAACTCTTGTCCGGCATGGCTTAAGAGCAGCCCATCATGTTTATAGAACATGGTGTTATATAAATGGGAGGAAAGAAGAGGATATCAACCAGAGAGGTCCATTGTCGTTGTGCAGTCCTTCCAGGCAACAGGCACACTTACCTCAGGAGAACAAGTGATATGGAAACAGTGAAAGAGGTAGGGTGACTGCTCTGGGTGCCAACTGTAGGAAGCACATGGCACAAATGTAGCACAGCAGTCAGGACAAGGGTAAGTGATAGTTTGCCAAACTGCCTTCTGGAACCCAGGCTCAGGACAATCCTATAGGAAAGAGCCTTATGGTTCTTTAAAGATCTGATCAATCCCTCGGGGATTTCTAATCCCTGAGCCAGGTGTGGGCATAGGTCCTTATATCCCAGTCACATCTGCATCAGGGTTTCTTAAATTTTCTGTACTATGTACTCTCTAACAGACTAGTGATGCCTATGAATGAACTCCCTCTCAGAATCATTTTATGCAAATAAAATACACTTGAAATGCACATAGCAAACATTATAAAATAATTCATGATATAGAAATCTATGCACTTCTTTATTAATGCTGGGTTTGGGGTATAGGTATCCAAAGAGTGAATCAAAGGGGATAAACAGAGACCAGGGTCCATGAAGGTCCTGGTCTGTGCACAGGAAGTCCCATCCATGAGGATGGTGCTGCTAGCTCTGGCAGTTCCAAGACACTTGAAGGGGACATAGAAAATGCTGAGGTAAGTGTATCTAGAGGCCAGGACCCATATGGGACCAGGTTGAGGGGAAATAAAGCCATGCCCAGATGGTGCTACGAGATCAATTTGGGCATCAAAGGGGTATTGAGAAAATTTCTAGGAAGATTCCAAAGCACAGGACCCCTTGGGACATGAAGATCAGAGCAAGGGACTTGTTTGCCAAGTCTAATGCCCACATTGGTGTTGATTACTAGCCAGTTGTTTTTTTGAAAAATCCAGTGGCTGGCAACTCATGGATACTGTTAATGACACAGCATTGCTCAAGTGTCCCCAAAGGTTGGAAGGCAGAAGTCTGTGATTGTTCACTTTCTAGGCAATGTACAGTCCCCAGCCACTGTCCTGGAAGGCAGAGGCCTGCTAAATGAATGCATCTTCTAGAAGAAAATTGTATCTTATGCCTTGTTTAGGGAAGAACTTCGAGGACAATGGTCAAAAGAAGTTCTCACAAGAACTTGGGTTGAGCCAATGTTCTCAGTCTGTAGTCTTATGTCTACTTCCAAAAAGATGTATAATGTGGGCCAGTGTCCAGGGCTCTTTGAAATTTTTTTCACTCTCTCCTTTTCCTAAAAGGAAGGAGATCTGTTGTAGTCTTGTTTTCCTTTACCATTGCCTATGGGGAACATTGTAGGTTATTCAATTTACCATTGATATCTGAGGTCTTCTTTATTTTCACTAATATCTAATTAAAATATAGTGTTTCCTTCACATGTCATTGCAGGCAAAAGGCTGGAGTGGTATCAGCAATATTGGTCACTGATGAATCACAGATATTTGTTATCACATGAGATTTGTGGTAAATATATCAAAATGCCATTCATAGTCATCACTTTTGAAACTGCCTCAGTATATGCACTTACCACTAGATTTTGTTATTCCACACATTTATTAAAAGGACATAGATTTCTATATCAATAATTGTTTTATATTTTGGTATATACATTTCAAGTGTTTTGTTGTTGTTGTTGTTTAAAAATATGATTTTGACAAAGAGTCCATCCAGAGGCATGCCTAGACTGCTAGAGAGGCCACAGTACAGAAAGTTTAAGAAACCCTGAGGCAATGTGACTGGGGTATAAGGAGCTATACCCACACGTGGTTCAGGAATCAGAAATCCAGGACTTGGAGTTGAACTTAATACCTGAAAAAAGACTTGGGTTTCTTTTCTTTTGTCTCCTCTTCTCTCCCTTCCCTGCCTTCCTCCTTGGCTCCCTCCCTTCACCCCTCCCTCTTTCTTTCCTCCCTTCCTCCCTTCTTCTATCTCAAACTGTGTAGTTATTTATTTTTTCATTATGTTATTTATTTATTTATTGGTACTGGGGATTGAACCCAGAGGCACTTAACCACTGAGCCACATCCCCAGACCTTTTTTATTTTTTATTTAGAGACAGGGTCTCACTGAGTTGCTTAGGGCCTTGCTAAGTTGCTGAGGCTGGCATTGAACTCGCAATCCTCCTGCCTCAGCCTCCCGAGCCACAGGGGTTATAGGAATGCACCACTGTGCCTAGCTTATTTTCTTCATTATGTTTTATCAGCTATCCCTTTGCAGAAGGAGTCATGTCCTTGTTAGCTCACTCCACCAAGTTATTGAAATGTCACATATCTTTCCATCCCAACCTTCTATCTCATTCTTGTAGACTAACCAGACTATCTTAATTCTGTCTTTAAGGAAACTTGAAGAGTGGGAATTATAGATTTGATATCAGAAGCGAGTTTGGGGAAGGGAGTTTCTATGACAGCTTGGGACTGCCAAGGACAGATTCTGGCCCTGAGATGGTCCATTTGGTTTTGTTCATATCCTGAAAAGCATTGTGTGTATCAGCTAAATCCTTTCTGTTATGAGAAGCCCTAATTAATGCATGCTCTGATTTGTTCTTCCCTGCTGAGGACTTCAGATTAATGATTACTGGGTGCCACACATGTTATCTCTTATGTATCTTTAATAAAAATAACAATGGCTACAATTTACAATGGCCTTACTGTGTTCAGGAGCCCTGTGCTCAGCCCTTAATATTCATGATTTTATTTAACCCTCCTGCCACTCTCTGAGGTAACTCTTGAGCATCATTTGCTTCACTGTATAGAGGGAGGAACTAAGGCTCAAAGAATTTCAGTAAATTTCTCAAGGTCACACCACAAGGAAGAGGTACGGTGAGTTTCACACCAAGACTTGTTTGATTTCATAGCACTTAGCCACTTGCCATTGTGCTGTTATGTTTCAATGGCAAAAGGAAGTGAGAAATGGAATAATAGAATTTGGGCAAATTAGCAAGAAAAATGAGGTAGCACTGTTGCATCATCTTCTGACAGCCCATCTTTCAATCCCCTTGCCTTGACACTCCCAAGGTGCTTGGAATACTGATTGTGCTGGATGAGCAAAATATGGTATGGCCAAGGAGGTGGTGGACTCCTGTCTCCAAGATTGGACCCGACAAGTGGGAGGTGCCATTCCTGCCTCAATATCTGGCAGCTGCCTACCAGAGAGCTCTAGGGTATGCCATAGAGGGTAGGAGGAAAGGGAATTGAGTGGGATGGATCTGGAACCTTGGTTAGTCTGGTGGGATAGACTCCAATCAGCTCTGTGACCTTGGGAATGTTCTTTAATCTTTTTGCTTTTACTTTGTGCCACAGGGAGGTTAGGCTACATTTGTAGAAATTTTAGGCAGTCTATGATGCCATGAAATTTTTAAAACGTTGTGAGTTGTTGATGGACACAATACCTTTTTCTTTTTAATGGATTTTTTAATATGTGACAGCAGAATGCATTATAATTCATATTACATGTATAGAACACATTTTCATATCTCTGGTTGTATATAAAGTATATTCACACCAATTCATGCCTTCATACATGTACTTTGGATAATGATGTCCATCACATTCCACCATCATTTCTAACCCATGCCCCCTCCCTTCCCCTCCTACTGCTCTGCCCTATCTAAAATTCGTCTATTCCTCCCATGCTCCCATTCCTATCCCACTATGAATCAGCCCCTTTATATCAGAGAAAATATTCGGCATTTGATTTTTTGGGATTGACTAACTTCACTTAGCATTACTTTTTCCAGTGCCATCCATTTATGTACAAATGCCATGATTTTATTCTCTTTTACTGCTGAGTAATATTCCATTGTGCATCAATGCCACATTTTTTTTACCTTTTTCTACTTAGTTGTTTTTTTGTGGTGCTGAGCATCATACCTAGTGCCTCACATGTGCTACGCAAGCGCTCCATCATGGAGTCACAACCCCAGCCTGATGTTCTGATTTTTAAGGACAGAGAATGCTGTCATGAGAGACATAGTTTCTGGAGTGTTCTGAGTCTGCTAGCTCCCATGGGTGCTCACCCCCTGACATGGTGTCATTTCTCCTTCAGTTTTCTGACACTGTTTTGTGTCATTTTATAAGATTCCTCTTCCATGTTAGTTACCAGCTGTCATATACCCCTAGAGTTTAGCTCCAACAGAGGAGCTCTTGCTTGGGATCAAGCTTTGAGGGCTCATGTTCCCACTCAGTTACCTCCTGTGCCTTAATTTCATCATTTGTAACAAGGGAGCAATAATGGTGCTTTTCTCATGGGGTCATCTGAGTACTAAAGGATGCATTCACATACTGAGCTCTGCTGCTTCACATACCAGGTACATGGATCTACTCCTTCAATGTCTGTAATTATTAGCAGCAATTGAACTCTTAGTCAGTTTTGTCATTGCTATAACTAAAAGATCTAACCAGAACAACAACAACCAGAGGGGGTTTATTTGGGGGTTCACAGTTTCAGAGACCTCAGTCCATAGACAGCCATCTCCATTCCTCAGGCCTCAAGGTGAGGCTGAACATCATGGCAGAAGAGTGTGGTGGACAGAAGCAGCTCATATGATGATCAGAAAGCAGAGAGAGACTCCACTATCCAGACACAAAATACATACCCCACAGCCACACCCCCAATGAACCGTTTCCTCCAGCCACACCCCACCTGCCTCCAGTTACCACTCAGTTAATCCCTACCAAGGGGATTCACTAATTCGGTTAAGACTTTCACAACCTAATCATTTCTCCTCTGAAACTTCTTGCATTGCTTCACATGGTTTTTGGGGGACACCTCACATCCAAACCATAACAAACTACAATTAATAAACATTTTCAGAGTGCCTCCTCAGAGCAGAGCCCACAGGGGACATACAGAAGCACCATCAAGTCCCCTTAGCCTACAGCTGCGTGTTGCACTTCCCAGATACAGATGCTGACACAGAGTGTGGGGTATAAGACACCAGTTGGGAATCAATGTCTGTGAAAATAAGTGGGAGAAAGCAAGACTGTACAGAGGAGGACATGGAATGGTGTATGACAGTCCTAACAAAGCCTTGGCCAATGTGGCAGAAAATTCTGGAACAAGCCATCCCCTCAGACTGTCCCATGTGGAACCAACATTGCCAGGCCTCCGTGTCCTGATCTTGTTCACTCACTGGATGTAGGCCATCTTGGGAAGAACATGACCTTGGCAGTGTTCTCAATAGCTTGGGCAGACCCCAAAAGGGCTGATAACTGGAGGTCACCTGTTGGGCTTGACAGCAAGCTGTTCCTTGAAAGGAGATTTAGGCAGCACAGCGAGTGGAATGCCCACCACTCAAAGAGTTTATAAATGACCAAGGGCATGCAGAGAGGACTGCAACCGATGGCAGATTTTCCCTGGAGAAGTTCCCAGAGCCTGGCTGAGCTGAGAGGTAATTAACCCAAAGCCACCAAATACAAACTTACTATAGTGAGAAATCAGGTCCACTAGAGAATGGATGGGAAAGTCTGAGATCTGTGCTCCATGCCACACTGGAGTGGACAAGGTGAAGTTAATTAAGCCCAAGGTCAGAAACCTAGGTGAGGGGTGCTGGGAGAAGAAAAGAAAAGGGCAAGCATTCTACAATGGATTTTATCAGTGCAGGTTCATCACATGACTTGTGGTGGCCAGAGTGAAAACTCAGGATGTGAGCACCTGTTCTAACCAATATGAAGGCTATGTCCGAACAGGGCATGCTGGGAAGCCTGGTATCTTATAAATGGAAGCTCTGTGAGTTCAACATGCATTCTGAAGGAGAATCCAAAAATCTTCTGTGACCCTTGTAACAGACTTGTAAGTGAAAGTAAAGCCAAATTCTGGGTGTAGAGAGGAAGACCATTTTATGGCCCCAGACCTTCTCTGTTTCCCTACTCAATGTAAGTCATCCACACTCCTTCATCTATTGCTTTTATATCATGGTCTTGACCACCGTGATAATCTCTACCTATTAAAATGGCCCATTTTGTAGCAAGACTGTGGAACCAACCTAGATGCCCTTCAATAGACGAATGGATAAAAAAATGTGGCAGTTATACACAATGGAGTATTACTCTGCATTAAAAAATGACAAAATCATAGAATTTGCAGGGAAATGGATGGCATTAGAGCAGATTATGCTAAGTGAAGCTAGCCAATCCCTAAAAAACAAATGCCAAATGTTTTCTTTGATATAAGGAGAGTAACTAAGAACAGAGTTGGGAGGAAGAGCATGAGAAGAAGATTAACATTAAACAGGGGTGAGAGGTGGGAGGGAAAAGGAAAGAGAAGGGAAATTGCATGGAAATGGAAGGAGACCCCCATGGTTATACAAAATTACATACAATAGGAAGTGAGGGGAAAGGGGAAAAAAAAACAAAACAAGGGGGAGAAATGAATTACAGTAGAGGGGGTAGAGAGAGAAGATGGGAGGGGAGGGGAGGGGGGATAGTAGAGGATAGGAAAGGCAGCAGAACACAACAGACACTAGTATAGCAATATGTAAAACAGTGGATGTGTAACCGATGTGATGCTGAAATCTGTATACGGGGTAAAAATGGGAGTTCATAACCCACTTGAATCAAAGTGTGAAATATGATTTGTCAAGAACTATGTAATGTTTTGAACAACCAACAATAAAAATTAAAGAAAAAAAATAAAATGGCCCATTTTGGGAGAAAGTGTTTAGTAGGGGTTAGGAGAATAGCTTCCCATCTTGGCCCTCTTACAACTTCGGAGACACAACCTGGAGACATATTATGGAGGGTCTGGGAATGCCCACACCAGGAGGGTATATTTACTTTGGCAAGAATTTGGGAATCATTGAAAACTTAGTGATCTTGGCGGGATGGAGAAGTTAGACCTGGGCTTTAGCCAAATCTGTTTGCCAACAATGTTCCGGATGTTCCAGAACAGTGGGAACTGGACACCTAATGCTAAAGTCCTATTGTCTTAGCCTCTGTGCTGAAGGAAGGGGGACTGAGATGGGGTAGCAGTAAGGGAGAAGGACAGAATAGGACAGATGACACAAGCTACTCCAACCTCTGAACTTGATGTCAACGACAATGGCAAGTCCCTCTAACAACAATAAAGGGGTCTAGAGGAGGAGGTGGTTTGGGGGAAAGGGTAGTTGGAGAGGGTGCATTTCTTTTGGTAGTGAGATATTAATGGGGGAAAAGAGAAAAAAGAAATCAAGAAAGAGGTCATTTGGGCAGGTGCCAGCCTCAGCCTGTTCTGCACTAGGACCCTGGAGAGTAAGCTGTGCTTTTTCAGGTAAGGCAGCTGAGGGTTTCAGATTTCGGTGCCCATTACCCAGTGACTATGGGCCACCATGGGGATAGGGAAAAATCCCAGGTCCTTCTAGTTCCCTACATACCTGTGCCGAGTAGCTTCCTTCTCTTCCTCTGAACGCTGTTCTCCTGAAGCTAATCATAGGTGCTGAATGTTTGGAAGAAAATCACAGTGAGAAGAGCAGGGTGTATAACCAGAGGGTCAAAAGGGAGCCAGAGGATCTGGGTGGAGTGCCAACACTGTCAGCTGTCACAGTGAGCACTGTCTTGAAAAAGAAGAGTGGCTTGCCAGCAAAGGTTCTGGCCTGGCTGGTCCTCATCCTCCTGCAGCCATCTGCTGCTTCCAGGAACAGGGTTTGAAATCCTGGGCCACTGTCTGTTGCAGCCTTCACCTTGCATTCCCCCTTTGCCATGGAAAAAAAGGGAAGCCAGAAAACATTTATCCAATGGGCTGGGTTGTGCCCTGGCTGTTGGCATATCCGTGATGCTCTGGTTTGGGGGTTGAGGCGGAGTGAGAATGCTCAGGCCTGCAAAGGTTTCCTGGTTCCAGCTCATTATCAATTTCAATGTTGTGGCATCCAAGATGAGGCAGCCATTAGTGCTTTGGCTCTCTGGTAGCTTCTCTAAGATGGCCACTTGTCAGCAGTCAGGACACTGGCCCTCACCCACTGGCTGATGCTCTCAGGCCATTAGTCTTGCTGGAAGACTCAGGAAGCAGAGGACTTAAGCAATGCTGTAATCACATGTGAATTGCTTTGGCGTAGAGGATTCTGGGTCTGAACCACAAAGCAGGGAGGGGTGGGGACAATGCCTCTTCCTTCCTTGAAAATACATAAATAAAGAAAGAATAATGAGAGCAATGGGAATACAGACACTATAAAGCTTCCCTCTCAGACCTACTGAGTCACTTTCCTACCCTTCAGGCCTGGGCCTATGCTGTAAGTGTTGGGTGAAGCTCCAGTCCAGGATCTCGGATGAACCAGTAACTGAAAGGTTCATTTTTGGCATGAAAGGAATATTCAGTATTCCCATCCAGCCTCTGGCTGCCTTCTGCTCTGAGGGGTCCATGGATGTTAAAGTACTTTGCACATCATTCCTGCTAAAATCCACTTCTTACCATAGTCTCTCCTCCCCTCCCCTTTCCTTTTCTCTCCTCTCCTCTCTTCTCAGCGGGTTCCTACCTACTGCACTCCCAGGAAGGCAAGGAAGCAGACCTGGCTTTACCTTCTCTTTTCAAGCAGCAAAACAGAAACACAGTAGACAGCTGGGAGTCACCTGCAAAACCTGGACACCATCTCTCTGTTTCTCTTCCTGCTAGAGTACAGTGTACTGCACGCTCAGGGGCTGCCATCTGTGGGCTACCTCACTCCCACCGGGGCTGGTATGGAGCAAGCTTGTCAAGAAGACCCCTTCTTCCAGTGTGGACCATGCCAACATCCCTCTGCCAACCCCTTATGCCTTCCCACTCTCTGGTTTTTCTCAGGTTTGGCATCCTTCCAATCCCACAGGAATTGAGCTGATAAATGAATTCATACTCAAAGGTTATTGACTTAATTTGTCACCTCCATCCAGGAGCTGTTTGCACTGAAAAGAGATCCACCAGGGAGAGGGCAATGTTTAACTGCAAAGAATGCCTTTCTAAAGGTGGGGTTTCGGGCACAGGGGCCGTTGGGCAGCCTCTGTCAGATCACCACAGGGGTGACCTTTCTTTCTGCAAAGTCCCGCTGCAAAGGAATTCCCAACTTCAGTATGCACAGGAGTACCCAGGGGTGCTTGGGAAACACTGCAGATTCTTTGACCCTAGAGATTTGATTTAGTAGGTCTGGATGGGGCATGGGAATCTGCATTTTAATCTACTTCCTGATAAAGTGGTTCAGGAGCCATGTTTTGAAAAAAGTACTTTGGTATTGCATTCATTTGGTAGGGCTGCCATGTAAAATATCAGATGGGTGGGAGGGGGTCCTTAAAATACAGACATTATTTTTCCCACAGTCTCAGAGGTTACAGTCTAAAATTGAGCCATTGGCAGGGTTGATTTCTTCTGAGGTAAGTGGCAGCTGTCTCCCCCTGTCCTCATATACTCTTTCCCCTGTATGCATACCTCTGATGTCTCTCTGTGTAAATTTCCTCCCCTTATAAGGACACCAGCCATATAGGATTAAGCCTGTCCTATGCCCTCATAATAATTATCTCAACAAATACAGTCACATTCTGAAGTTCCAGGATTAGGGCTCTGTCATATGAAGTTGAAAGGTAGTGGCACAATTCTACCAAAGATAGGCAGGCAGAAGCAAATACTAATGAAGCCAGACATGGTGGCACATGCCTGTAATCCCAGCAACTTGGGAGGCTGAGGCAGGAGGATTGTGAGTTCAAAGCCAGCCTCCTCAACTTAGTGAGACCCTAAGCAACTCAGTGAGACTCTGTCACAAAATGAAAAATAAGAAGGGCCAGGGATATGACTGAATGGTTAAGTACCCCCGGGTTCAGTTCCTGGGAGAGAGAGAGAGAGAGAGAGAGAGAGAGACAGACAGACAGACAGACAGACAGACATTTATGTAGGCACAACAGAAAACACCAAGTTCTTCCCTCTTTTCAGAAACTGCGAGAGAGAAAACACAGCCAGGTTGGAAAAGATGGTAGAGAAATCCCTGGGATCTGCCCATGAACGGGAGGCACAGCGCCCCCTGTTGGCGCCGCTGGTCTCCGTTCAGGACACCACCTTGCCTCACCCTTTCAACTGCCTTCCCTAGTGTTCTTAGTCCCTAGGGTAGAAATAGTCTTTCTTCTTTCAGCTTCATGCGATGAGAGAACAGTCTTTGGTGCTGGCACCAGTGTGGCCGCCCAGGCAGCCCTTGCCTCCGCCTTGGAGGATGTTTCTTTCCCCAGGAAAAAAAAAAGAAAAACAGCGAAGACCCTTCACCCTCCCCATTCATCATCACCACGGGCAATCTAATTACAGCCTTGTCTTAAAAGAGGAACTCATTTACAATTGAGACTTCTTCCTTATGAAAATGTAACATCTTGAACTATGTTTTTATGGCCCCCTTTTACAAAAATAAAAAAGGAAATTAATTAATTTCCTTGTACACAGGAAAGGCTCACGAGGTCTTGCTGGTTGTACACAGAAAGGATGCTTGCTCGTTCTCTCTCTCTCTCTCTCTCTCTCTCTCTCTCTCTCTCTCTCTCTCTCTCTCGGCCTCCCGCTGTGTGACAGTAAAATGCTAAAATGATTTTGGCAGGAGAATATTCTCAAAGGCTGTTTTTATTTCAGCAGCAGAAGAGTATCTCAGAACGCAGGCTGCACCTCTGCCCTGTGGGGCTGTTTCTAATTGTAGGAGGTGAGCTGCGGAAATCCTTCCCCCAGCCGGGTGGGGAGAAAGCGGTGAGAAACCTAAGGAAGATAATCGTGTCCGCCACACTCAGTGCTCACCACTTAAAGGAATTAACTTGTTGGAATAAAATATTTCTATGGGTGCAGAAAACTATGCATTAGAATAATGAGGCTGACCCCTTCTCTACGCATTGCAATCACTGGGGTTTGTTTCTTTCCTTTCTAATCACAACATGTTATCTTCGTCCTTGCTCACACCTCTGTAGGCAAGACTGGCTGAGAATACTTTAGATTATCACCTTCTCATTTCAGTGTGAAATAATTGCCCAAGGATGGAAACTGACAAACAGGAATGTGGATTTCGGAAAGCAGGCCTCTTGTTATTTAGGATACCCCAAATGTGGATTATTTGGGTCGATCACTTCTCCCGTCCTCACTCTTACCCCTTTAGAAAAAGACCTGTGTTTTCGCAGACCTGGATTGATTTGAAATTTTACAGACAGCTGGGATACTGATATGTTTAATTAAAAACTATACTACACAGCAGCATTAAGGGTATGAGGTCCTGGGGAGCTTTGTGGGTTTAACTCTTGGTGCCACCCACTTACCAGCTGTGTGACCTTGGGGAAATTGCTTAACTTCTCTGTGCCTTCATCTTTTACCCAAATAAAATGAGTCAGTAATAATAATTCCTTATGGGGTGGTGAGATCTGAATGTGTTAGTGCATGTAAAGTGCTTGGAAAAATGGCTGACAGGCACAGAGTAAACACTCACAAAATATCAGCCGGTCTTATTTATGCCCTTGGAGACGGAAGAGGAGCTGCTTTCCTGGTCTCCTCTAATAATCATTATTAAGCATTGTCCCAGATGGAAAGAGAAGTAACCAAAGACCCTGCCCTCAGGAAACTTCAGTTTAGCACCTGTGCTGGTCATTTAAATGGTTCATTATAATACAGATTGAAATAGATGCTCAGAGGGGATCACAGTGACATGGCGTGGAGGTCATAAGCAGAAACACTTAACAGGAGAAGATGCAAGATGGCAATGTGAAGGTCTCCAGAGGAGGGAAACAAAAGAAAGGGGTTCCAGGCTGTGGAGAATCAGGAGCGCAGGGAGAGGAAGAAGCCAGCCTGCACAGGACACTTTAGATAAGGGTAGGGACATCTGCCCTGCAACACGGACAGAAACTAATGGTAATTGGGGGCCTCCTCTGTCCTGCAACAACCCAGCACCCCAATTTGCATTTCCACGTAAAAGATCAGCAAATGATGTTGGAACAATTAAGTACTATCTATATTTTTCCCCTGGAAGAGTTTTAATTTCTTTCTTTCTGTTTTTTTAGTGATGAGCAAAGTCCTATAGTGACCAACTACGATTTAACAGAAAGACTTCCCCAATTTTGTCCATATGGGCCATTTATTACACCCAGAGAACTCTTTGTAGTCACCACAAACGCGCAGCTACCTCTGGGGTACGATGCGACCGCTATTTAACTGTCACGTAACATGACAATCGAGTGTCCTATTAGAGCTAAAATTTAATTGTGAAGACGGGTACCATATTTAACTGCAATCCTGGGGGGAATTTAGGTTGACAGGCTGTAATTACCCAAACTGGAACCTGGCCAGGACACACCTACTCTTTGCCAAAAGAGCTATGGGGGTTTTAACCACCGCAGGCATGGGAAGCCGGCGGGTCTTCCCGACAGTGGGGAAGTGGCACTTGCAGCCCCACAGCGCCCCCTAACCAAGCTCCAGGCAAGTGCAGGCTGTCCCGGCCGCAGGCCTTTTTCTGACCCGTTGCACTTGGAGGTTTCCAGCAAAGCCCCTGTCTGCCGGCACCTGGCTCCAATCCATCACGGGTTATCAGAAACTTGCCATTTAAGGTTGTGCAGCTGTGAGTCTTGCAGTCAGGTTCTTACTGGCGCTTATCTGTGTCTGTCTGTCCTGCGCGTCTCCCCCCAGGTCCTGCTACTTCTCTCTTATCACGACAGAAGTGCCTGTCCTGCTAAAATAATTACCCAGCAGAGCACAGTGTTTCTCATCAGCAGCTGCTGTTTCGACATAGAGATCAATTAGAGGCATATTTTGACTGGGGAAGTGGGCTGGTCAGGCCGGTTTACGAAAAATCCCATTAGAATTCTTCCTACAAAATGTAGTTGGGTCTTGGAATGCAATTGTTATCAAAAAAAAAAAAGAAAAGAAATAAAAATAAAAACTGGGTCAAGAGGAGGTGGAAATGTGGCTTGCCGATGTCACTGAAGGGTTAAAATGGAGAAAGTTCTCGGCTGCAAGCAGCAGTGTGAATAAATGTGGTCTTAATTTAAGGTTATGGATTTTTAAAAAGCCTAGCTTTTTGTCTTCAGAAGTCTTTGCATTCATATCAGTTAAAAAATAATTTAGACAGAAAATAAATGTTGGAGCAAACTCAAATTATTAT